CGAAGTCAACTAAGGGGCTAATGATAACTATCAAAACACCCGCCACTTGATATAAATAAATATTGGAATTGGATACTAGTATCCAAAACTGCTGTGAAAAAACACCGGGGATATCGTCATTTAGAAGGAAGCAGAAAAAGGGTTCATTCAGTGGAATTAGCTTGCGTCATTTATCACTGGAATTTAAGGAAAATGTCAAAATTCGGTGTCCATTTAATTTGTATAGCATGCAAATTACAAAAACTGCATAACGAAAGGTGATTGGGGTAATAATTGAGACAAAATGGTACTAAAGCTAGTAATATCCTAATTATAATTCAATCAGCCAACCAATTAAAACAGAAAGATAAAGTTTTATGGCAAAAAANGACTTCTGACCACTTTCATAATACTCACCTTACCTTTTCTCTGCCTTCGTATCTGTCTGTCTGTCTCTTTTACATCTGTGAATTATTATTCTGCCTCCCTGTCGAGTTTTTGTCATTTTGATGTTCCTCCTCCCCTCTGTGAAGTCCGAAGTCAACTAAGGGGCTAATGATAACTATCAAAACACCCGCCACTTGATATAAATAAATATTGGAATTGGATACTAGTATCCAAAACTGCTGTGAAAAAACACCGGGGATATCGTCATTTAGAAGGAAGCAGAAAAAGGGTTCATTCAGTGGAATTAGCTTGCGTCATTTATCACTGGAATTTAAGGAAAATGTCAAAATTCGGTGTCCATTTAATTTGTATAGCATGCAAATTACAAAAACTGCATAACGAAAGGTGATTGGGGTAATAATTGAGACAAAATGGTACTAAAGCTAGTAATATCCTAATTATAATTCAATCAGCCAACCAATTAAAACAGAAAGATAAAGTTTTATGGCAAAAAAACTACGCCCCCATTCAACAACTTTTAGTATTGCCAACCCCCTCCNCCCCCCCCCCCCCACAAGCAAGTTCGATTTGGTTAGTGAAACGTATGAAAATAATTAAATCATGAGCCTTAAAAAACATGCAGTATTCAACCTAGGTTGGCTACAGTTTAAAAGGCCCAATAGTCAAAGTGGAATTTGAACTCAAGATAATAATCAAATTATCAGGACCACAATTAACGCCTTTATCGTTTCTACGATTGGAATATCGAAAGCCGACTCGTGCCTTTGTCAGCTAATTAATAGGCGAAATAATATTCAGTGACCTTGATTTCTTCTAAAAAAGAAAAAGGGGAAGTTGGAGCCCCTCCATAAAATTGGATCGATACAAAGAGAATAAGTTACTAAGTATGCCAAGATTACTGATGAGATCCCAAGACACCTCAACCATTCCTTAAAACACCTGCCCTACATTTCATAGCATGATTAATTATGCAAAGGCTCTTAAACCCTGCTAAGGCAATTTGTTTCAAAAAGTGAGCACTTAAGGCGAAAGAGGAGTAATTTGCTTCATGGTAAAACAGTGATTGTAGCTTAATAGATAGAAGATTAGCTTTGCATAATTTTTCCCTGGGTTAAGCTATACGATTTAAAGGCATAAAAGTGCATGCCCGATTTCAGAAGTGAAAATAAACAGACGAAGGTAAGGAAAAATAAGTGCGTTGATAGGATATGCTTTCCATGACTCATCTCGGAAAGTTAATACGATGGGATTACGTTGAGGTATAAAGTCATTTTCTTTATTAGTTTTAATCATTTCTTTCAAAATATGTGCGGTAGTTTAAATAGTGGTAAAAGGTACATTGATCATTAATTCAAAGCGCACAACAAAATACCTATCCCTAATCGACTATCAACCACTGAAAACTGATCTTAACTAAATCCAAGTGATTTAATACGATTCATATAATAATAATTATTATTATTATAATAAACCATTCCGAGAATGTCGTGGCTGTTTAATCAAATCGGATGATCAACCTGGTGATGGCCGCTAAGCGTGACCTAACGACCTCAATAGGACGATACATCCCGACAAATGTGGGGGTTGTGGTAGTAAATATAGCATGATAAGCCATCAATATTTGGTCAATTCTAATAATTTTAAAGACAAGATATCAAGGCATAGGAATCAAAACTTTCAAACTACAAGTGAAAATCTAAGCATTTAATTGAGAAAGTAAACAAAACTCGCAATGTGATTATGAGACCGAGTGTAAGATAACATTGGTTGTGGTATTAACAGTCCATTTAGATAATAGAAAATTAAGTCACAATTAAATTAAGGGAGATTCTAAAATAAAGGACTAAAGAATACGTTTACGCAGAGGACACGAGAATTTTATTAGCCAACAAGAACCATCTAGGTAACATATGCAACGTCACTTAGAAATGGATTAATAGGCCTTTCCCCAAGTTATTCTCTAAAGGAATAGCAAAAGTTCAGGTGTGCGTTCTTGAGTGGTATGTGCTCTAAAAACATACTTGGAGTAGAAGTGACCTTGAGATCAATGGCAGAGTACAAGTGGTGGTGCGTTTTTTGTGCAAACTGACGAAACATATTGCGTGGATATGGATTCAGGAATTGAGTAAGGAGAGTCAGTAAATAAGAGTCAGTTAGGCGAAAAATCACCTTTAAAGTGCAAATACCACAATTAAGATATTCCAGGTACGGCCACAAATACGCCACTAGCGTAACGGTATCAAATTATATTCATTCGAATTACGCACCTCTGAAATAAGTGCACAGCAGGACATTCGACTAAAAACAGTTGGTGGTACACGCTTCCCTAACAATAGAATAACTGAAGTGTTTCACCTTGTCTTGTTTTAAATAACGTGAACGGTAGAAAAAATAGTGACCGATAAAAACAACTCAGACGTAGGTGAAAGAATACGATTTTATTAGCTGGGGTGTGGGATAGACTCACCTCCTCGCGGTGTACCCTGGGCAACGTATAATCATACGGCAAAAAAGTCTATAAACCGGCAGTTGACTTCTGACTTCAAACAACCATCACCCCCTCTGTATGTCATATTAGACCCCTACCACAGTACTCGTCTTACCCTTTCTGAGCCTTTGTGTCTGTCTGTCTCATTTACACCTGTGAATCACTCTTCTATTCCCCCTCCCGAATTCTTCTCACTTTGATGTTCCTCCTCCTCTCCGTGAAGCTTGAAGTCAACTAAAGGGCTAATGGCAACTATCAAAACGCCTGCCATTTGTTATAAATAATTTTTTAGCCAGTAGATTCTAGGACGTTGATTTCCCGTGCATGGTAAGTGATGGAAGACAACTTTTGGCAATGAATAATGGGTTTACCTATGGTGCTATTGACATGTACTTGATAAAAGATTAGAATGAAGAGCGAGTATGTGTTAAAAGGTGAGATAGATCCCCGCAAAATGATCAAAGCATAGTTAGGAATGACAATCAAATAAGTTTATGAAATATTTTGATGTCAAACTCCATTTTAGGGCAGGAGCTCGTCAAGAGCTTACCTTGCTGTTTTTTTGCTTTCTGGACTATGCCCGATCCTCAATTTCTGCTGATCCGATTTCGATTAAAAACTTAGTCAATAAAAAGTTGTTTACATTTCGAAATAATATCGAATCAAAATTAGGGGTAAATCAGGAAAGACCAAATAACAATTATAAATGGTAGAAACGAATAAATTACGGATCGAACAGCTAATCAAAAAATGGTTTCAATGAAAAAAAGGTTAAATCGTAGAACGGTCACCTCCAAATAATTCATTTTGCGACAATTAATAGATCGTATTCAGGCCCCCCTCCAAGTTCTTATAGTACTTTCGTCCATTTTTCAATTAAACTCCAATGGATTGGAATGAAACTAAGATAAAATCACGAAACTAGATTATCAAAGCTATTCCAAAAATAAATAAGCAGACACATTTAAGGAAAAGGATTATAAACTATGGCAGTAAATAACGGACAAAATATGCATAGGATGAATGGTTAGCTCATCATGTAAAAATAGACGAAATTCAATTAAACAGCCCAAAATTGCTTTACCTGTGAAAGAACTCCAGAAAACGATTCAATGAGCATTCGAATAGAGTCCAACTCCTCACAACAGGAGGTTGGTGCAGAGCCTGGCCTTACAGCGGCTCGGGCGGTATATTCCAGATGATCTGCTGTGATCTTTTCCACATTATGGTACCTATTGAAGACCACAGAAAGGAGCACACAGAGGCCGAGACTGGTAGAAAGAATGAGGAATGATAAGAATAACAGCAAATAAAACCAATAGATTCTTCTTGAGGTGGATCACTTACATAGCCATGAAAAACAACCACCTTCCATCAGACTGCTCATTCGGGCACAGCAGGACTTGTGGAATGGATAGACCACGAGTGGAAAGATGGTGGTGTCCAATAGCACTACCATTGACCAAATCGGGGACAGAATCTTTGTGGTCATTAATTTCATTGATCTTTGACCCTAGTCTTTGTTTACTACTAATACTACCATTACCGGGACAACTTTTGTCGGCTAAATTTATGAGGCCTTTCTTTTCTTTAGGACGATAAGGACGCGCTAGAGCGCCTCCAGTAATACGTTCTTTCTCTGTGAGATTCTGTGAAGCCTTAGTCAGGTGGTCAACCAGATCGGTAAAATTGTCTGTCAAATTGGATCGGCAAGTGCTCTCGATGATGGACTTGGCACCAAAGAAAACTGGACGGTCATAGATGACCTCTGAAGTGATTATGAGGTGGGAAACTGTGGTGCTGCATCGTAAGAGACAGTAACGGGTGGTGACGTGGAATGAATTGCAGAGGGGAACAGCTTCATTAGTCACTGTGGCGTCTACTACGTAGCGCATACCCGGACGCGTTTCACTCAGCAGAATTGTCTATTTGTAGGACAAAAAGAAATTGGCAAAAGTCAACATTATAACATTGATAAACATTAAACATTAACTATTTCAATAGGCCTAATTCTAGATCTTTCAAGTATTATATAAGAGAATGCCAAAAACTTCATCTTCAAGTGCCATAATGGAGTAATTAGAAGATAGAACTCGAAAGTTAATTCACAAATGATAATAACAACTGACTGTGTGTACGAATGATATGTGAGGCTATAGACTAATACAAGAAAACTATTTTAATTGTTATTTCCTTCAAGCAATCACAAAACATAAACTCGTACTGAATTGCGAATTGGGATGGATGTTTAGTATGCAGGTAAGATAAAATTTAGGCATTTTCATGGCGAAGATGAAGGTGATCGTCGGCAACGTCAGAGATCACGAGTTCGATGCCCGTAAATGCGGAATAACCAACTTCGCTAATTAAGTCTGGCTTGTAAAAGAGGCTGGAGAAATGTAGTCTTGCATAAAGACTCCATGATAGTACTTCCTTGCTAAAAATGAGTGTTGGAGAGCTCATTTTATACGGCTTAATAGCACGTCTAGTCAGAATAGTCAAAGAACTCGTAATGTTCAAAGGTTGCGCAAAACACAAGCCCTACGTCGAAACATAAAATACTCTATAGGTTAAGAAGTGGAAATAAAAAAAGAATAATATACTGAAAATGATCTCACTCAAGACTTCACTCACGTAATTAGTAATAGTGAACCTTGTGAAGGTTGCATACAAGGAAAACATGCTCTGACTAAAACAACTGTCAGTTAAAGCACGCTTAACTGACATTGTATTATTGCACTGCTCAAAACAATGCTTTTTTCTATAGTATTGATTGGAGACAAGTATGGTTTTAGATGGATCTTTCAGAAATATTCAAAAAAAAATTTTGAACGTCGCATTAAGCTGTAATGAAATCATAATTATAGCCTTACTAGTAATAATTTCATTAACAATAAACAGGAGTGATCTCTATTTAAACAAAATCGAGAACTAACCAATAGTGGAGTTTAAAGAAACTATATTAAAATTAACGCATGTAAAAAATAATAATTTTTAAGGTTTAGAGATGAATCACTAACTAACCTGGCTTTCAAAAGCCCTACAAGTTCTTGGTCCAAGCCTCTGCTTCAGCGTCAATACATAGGAGATATCTCGATGTATATCTTTTCCATTATCAATCCAAGGTTTGGCTGGCCATGGTTTCTGTCGCACATCAAATGTTCCTCGATGCTCACAAAAATCGGAGAAGAACTGTGAATCCGTGAAGAGGAACGCAAAGAGTGCGTCAACCGACACATTAATATCTACCGCAGCATACGTGCGTCCTGGATGTTTGTGCCCACTTCCACAACTCACTGGGCCTAAATGAGTTTCCTTACTCAGGCCAGGGTCAAATAGATCGTCTGTATTATCACTCTTTTTCGAATGGCCACTATTGCAGCGTTGCCGAGAAATTTCTGCATTTTCAAGCGCTGACTCTTTGTGTTGAACAACTGGAGGTTTGCTTGTCTTCTTTTGGGGTCGGCTATAATTACTACCGTTTTCAGGTGTTCCTTCACGCAGTCTTTTGTCAAAATTCATTACGATGCCTTTAAAAAAGTGGAAAACTCTAGATATACCATTCAGTAAAACACAATTCGATTCGCGAGCGTTAAACTAGAAAATAGACCGAATTTGACCTCAATCCGGCAATGCTAATAATCAAAACACGCCGAAAAATTGTATCAGGCGTTAAAAGGAAGGACTTAGTTATTTCAAACAAAGCGATGCACTTTCGATATCAGATATACGGTTGATAAGCAAAAAGAGAAACTGCATTATTAGTACATTTCATTAAAAGTTCTTTGAAAAACGAAAAAGGGCAGACAGTTAGGAGAAATAAATATTTGATCATTCTTCTAATATCTTAAATACCGTGACGTAAATAAATACAAATATGTGTTTATTAAGCAAAGTGAGTGTTTTCTCAATTTGTTACACCAGAAAGCTCATTGATCGCTCGACAAGTTGAAGGTTGTAAGTAATTGCAAGAATGGAAAAGTGAACGAGAATGAGGTCAATCATTGTAAAAATATACGAGTGATGAATAAGGCATGCATCAATTGTTCTTATAAAATAGGAAGCGTAAAACGAGAGGTATATCAAAAGAGATTAGAACTGACGCACGCATAAAGGGCATATAATTGACACCTATAATAAGAACATTTATAATCAGGGGGAGAAGAAAACGAAATAATTAACAAGAATAACACCAAAAAATAGAATGGCATGTGATCGATATTCATAAAACATGCTCAGGATTACCACCTTTTTATATTTGTTCTGACGCGATGTTTATCACGCCAATAATTTTCAGTTGAGATAGGTCTTAACCGAAATCAAAGAAAGCCGTTCTTTGTGAGCGACAACACTGTCACACTAAACTTGGCTTCAACCCGAAATGTCAAGACTAAAGTATCATAAGCCGCAAACCACTTTAGAAGTAAGACCACAACCTAGCTAGCCAAGCCGCAACACACGCTAAAGCTTAAAGTGAGAAGTAATTATGCTTGTTGGACTTGAGATTAGACCAAAACACGCACTCAGCTTCATGCCATCTCATGGTGGTTCGGTGATTGTGGTCATACAGAAGATAGCTGTTGTCTCTCCCCACTTCCGCCTTAAATACATCTTGCCTTATCGATAAGATGTGCCTTAAAAGACCACGCTCTCGCAGTACATTTCAAGAGACCATAAGGGGTAATAACTAATATGTAACAAATTATTAGAAAAACGAAAACAATAATTATCTTTGTCTGCTTGAACAGATAAAGGCGCTAAAAATGAGATGTAAAGTCCACTACCCTCCAATGCTCACTTTGTCCTGATATAATCGTAATAACGGTCCAAGAATTGAAGAGATCGTGATAGTCATCGAATGAGCATGATTAATGCTCAATATTCACAAGCCGTAACTGAACAGGAAAACAAAAAAACGTTTAATCCTATGAATGAATTTGATACACCGCTTTAGGAAGTAATGTTTGTGCCTAATTCATGAATAACTCGTTTTCACCCAATTGGGTGTGATATCGATGAACACTGTGCGTGAATCTGTTAAGTCAAAGGTCATGGGCTATAAAATCAACGGTGCCTATTTATTGATTGGTATGCATAACCTAACTGATCTAAAGCTTCACAAGAGAGGGGTGCCAAAACTAAAGAAAGAAAACTGCTAGTGCTTTGCTTAAGATGGGGAAATGGGAACACGACTCTTTCGATCGCCCTGTGAATTGCTATAAATTAGTTCGATCTCAGTACTTTTTTATTTTACAAAGTGTCTGACGTATTTAGGCGGCCTGACTTGTTGTACAATCAGGATCCAATAGAGCTCGATCCGTTCAAACCCTTTGCCCCTTACCGAACACTTGATTTACTATAAAAGTCGAATCGGCCAATATTGCACAGCACACAAGGGTTAATATTCCCTTATTCCAACTTGGGTTTGAAGGAACCATTTTAACTTGCTTGAAAGATTTTTAACTAATAAAACAAAAATAATGACCATAAATTATGCATAAAGTGGTTGATATGAGCGATACATTATTTATGCATAGGCATTCACTCTTATTTTAAGTAACCAGCAAGAAACTATCCCCCCCCCCCCCACCCTTCTCATAAGGATTCACTGAATAAGTGACAGGCATAAGGTGAGTTTACTTTCAACTAAGCAATAAAATTCTAGAGTTGACCTTCTGGAATTTCCTTTTATCATCTCTAAACTGCATTTAAATAAACACGAATGTAAAATAGAGTAGGAAAAGTAGAACCGAGTGCCTTAGGAGTAAATTCATTTGAGTCATATAAAGCAAGATCTTGGGCTAGGACATTAGTATCCTTCAGACGATTATCGATGTGTGGGCAAATTGGTACTTACTAACTTAATTCTATGAAAACGTTTTAATGTTTAGTACCAGCCTCCAACCCCTTTTGCACCTAAAAGAACTACTCTGTAGTTTCTGTAAATAGAATTTAGACTGGAGCAAAACAATGAGCCAGTTAGCATAAGATGCCAGGGAAGGTAATAATTTAATTTCTCTAAGGTAAAAAGAGGGAGAGAGAGGAAAAAGTAATTTTATTAGAAATAAGTTGATAGCGATTGATACGTGCTTTGCTTTGCTTGAAGAAAATGATCTGATTTAAGAACACTTCTCTAGAAATCAATTCTGATTAACTGGGCATATTTGCGTTAGCTTGACGACAGCTGAATTGAAGGCATTAAAATTAATTTGAATTTCCACAAGAGTTACAAAAAAGAAGATCATCAACATCACGAAAAACTTCAACGAAGTAAAAGCATTTAGAAACACGGACTAGCCCCAGTTCAGTACTACCAACCCACATATTTATAGTTGCCATTGGGGGGGTGTGCGATAGACTTACCTCCACGTGATGCACCCTGGGCAACGTATACTCATACGGCAAAAAAGTCTACTAACCGGCAGTTGACTTCTGACTTCAAACTNGAGCAGAGGAAAGGTAAGATGAGTACTGTGAAGTGGGTTGAATATGGCATACAGTGGGGGGTAGTTTGAAGTCAGAAGTCAACTGCCGGTTAGTAGACTTTTTTGCCGTATGAGTATACGTTGCCCAGGGTGCACCACGTAAAGGTAAGTCTATCGCACACCCCAAATAGACGATAGTAGATGACACTATAATTTGGATTAGAATTGAAAAATGTGCATAGAATTATAGAAAAAATTTCTTTATTTAGATAAAATATTTAATAATACATATGGTAACGGAAAGGATTACTTTTTCTTGTTTATATTTTCCATAAAATTTTGAAATTAGAAATAAATTGCACTAGTTACATCAAGGTATTTGTAAGAAAGTATCACGTTGTGAATAAACTATCGTCCAGTAAACGTAAGGATAAAACGATGTCTATTAAATGCGTTTTAGTAAACAATAGTTGGATCAAAAATTACCTCTGAGAGGTGGTTAATCCTATGCAAAGTTATTTAACTAAAAGCTTTTTTATTATTAGTATTATCATTGTGGGGTGTGCGATAGACTTATCTCCACGTGGTGCACCCTGGGCAACGTATACTCATACGGCAAAAA